ATCTTTACAAATACTTCTAGGGCCAACATTCACAAAAAATCAGTTAAACTTATCTACTGCATCCTCCATTCTGGTGACCAGTGTATCATTATCCATAAAGTATTGGGGGTAGTTACTCTTGCTGGGACTATTTCTAATCAAATTATTTAATATATTCCAAGTACCTCTCATGTTATTTTTATTATCCTCTAATACTTTAGAATAATGTTGTTGTTTAAAACAAACCTATGCAAGCCAAAACAAACTAACACTTTTCTATGTTTGTGCCACTATAACTTTGGATCAGGATCACTTATCATTTTGTTGTTTTATATTGATAGAGTTAGCTTTTAAATGTGACCAGGATTGTGAGAGTTTTTTCTTACAAATGGTAGGTTCTCATACTGGTTGTTATGCCCAATGCCAACATTTTCTTTGTGCATGGCAGCTTCAGTGTGGTTAAGATTAAAGACTGAGGTTATGGCAAATAAACTATGGCTGACGTATAATATGTTTAGGAAAAGAATTTTATACTGACTCAAATGGTTAACTGCACATCTGTGATGGGACATACACTCAGATCCCCTCTGTAAAAGTAAAACAAACTACACACCCATCCTGACTACCCTGACTTCCAGACCCTTCTGCCTCCTTATATGAAAAGTGCTCTGCTTCCTGCACTGGCACTCAACTCAACATCAGCATCAGATATACACTAATTGTCAGAGGCTTGGACACACCATCCCGTTGAATTGAAGTGTGTCCACACTTTTGAGTGGTAGTGCGGTTCTGCTGTAGAATCATTCCTCAAGAGTCAAGCAAAGGAACTGACCAATGAATTACTGTCTCAAGGCCAGAACCAATCACCTGCCACAAGCCTCCCAGCACTCACCGAGTGACCACCTTCTGTTACTCTTGCACAGTTAGATAACATCTCACTACAAGTGTCCCTAAACCTGCTTCATGTACTTATACAACATTTAGCAGCTCCCAGTGTTTTCCATATGAGGTGTTTGAGGTCCAGAAAAACTGGGAGTAGACAGAGAAAAACATCTGGTTGTTCCAAGTACAGAGAAGCGGTTTAGGAGGGTGTGATGTTTCACACACTACTGATGACAGATCTGCAAAGATGCAAGCTGTAACTGCATTGCATTGTGGTCGATTAAGGCTAGAAATGAGTATCACTGCCTCATCTATGATGGATTCCTTCCTGTTTTGCTTGTTGATATTGATCCAAAACATTGAGGATCAAAGATTAATACCTAAAACTCTAAGCTTAATGCTGATTACTTTAAACATTTTCTGCTATAAATCTCCATTGTCTATTTGGCTAGCCAGCTGTGGGAATAAGAGAAATATATCATCAGCAACAAAATGGGTCCATAAGAAGGCCATGTACACCCCAGCAGTTAGTTTCAGGGTGGATAAACTCTTACTCCTGTTGACCAACTATTTCTGTTGTCACATCTTCCTTATGGTTATTTGCCATGGTATTTATTACTGTTATGTTTGATATTCAGCCTGAAACTGAGAATAAATGAAGCTTTGCTCCGGGTTTGAAGTAAAAGAGATGTGCTGCTGTTAACAGGAGGAGTTCAAATTAGCAATGGGAATGTGATTCTCTGGAGGATAAAACACCCACAAGTCTGTCTACACTTGGCCTACATACTACCTGTTACATGCTTCCCTACTCCAGATCCTTTCTCCTGCACTGGTGCCACGGGACCTTACTATCAGGTCCTCCTGGGGATCCAGAAACAGTGCCGCAGCAGTCATGAGATAACTGTCTTTGAAAGCTACAGCACATACAGTATGCACCGAAGAGGGTTGAATCAAAGGTTCCATAAAGACATAGTGGAAACCCCCTATCATTGTGCTGGGCACGTCCCACGCTCACGGGCCTGAGAGGACATCAGGAGATGTAAAAAGACAGACACATACACATGGACGCACACCTCGTACCGTGTGTAAAAACAGAAAGGTCTTCTCTTCATACAGGGTTAATGGGAAGAGAATGCAGGCTACATGAAAGAGGGAGTAACCTTATAAAGAGGGGTTGGAGCCATAAATGAGGACTTACAGTGTGTCCTTTTACTGCACACATGGGTTAGAAGAAGGCACACAAGGTAAGGAAGAGGCACAAATGGAGAGAGAGAACAGCAGGTATAGAGAGACAGGTCTTACTGACTGTGTGAAACAAAGAGCAGGTACAAAAACATTGATCTGGACATCTCTGACGTGTACTTGCTACCTAAGCACAGAGCCTGGTGAGAAAATGTTTTTGGGGGATGAATTCATGGTGCAGTAAATGGTAAAATGTAGTGATGTCAGTGAACAGACTCAGTAACGCCGGTTACATGACAACATCAAGCTTAAGTTCGGGAACATTATCTATCAATAGCTAAAAGTTACTGGTCATACTAGACCAAGTTAGGCTGTAGCTACAAAACCCAGGAGTGAATCAAACTGAGTAAAGGCATGTTTTAATTCTGATTTATCTACAATGATACAGCGGTGAATTATCATCTTAGATGTGACCTAAAGCTCAAAATATGAGGTGAACGTATGTTCTAGTATCTCTATGCATCTTGCAAACTCTCACTCTTGAGACTTTTTTTCTAACAAAATAAAGTATTACATGATAGTTTAAGGATTTCTTTGAATGGACATAATGTCCAGGCCGTTGCGTGTTCACGTGAGCTTCCCTGACATCCACCGGTGCCATTTTAGAAGCTGGATTTTTTGACTGCACATGGTTTGGTGGATATATTTTACCCCCTGCTGCTGCACTGTTACCAGAGGATGTGGAGAAAAATACAGGGAATTAATTATACCGTTGTTTACCTATCTATGGAGGAGAAATTCAAATGAATTCATGCTGTTGTGGCTCGTTGTGCTGTCCACTTTCAACACCAGCAGCAGGAGTTGTGCACATTCACAAACTATCCTCTGGTTTTTAGGAACAGGTTTTATTGTTCTGAAATAATTACAGACTATTTGCAGTTATGATGGGTGCAAAGCCAACCTAGAGGTACCCAAGATTAAACATTAAATGGCTGGAAATGAGCTCTTTAAAATGTTTTGTCAAGCGACTGTTCAGAACCCACAAACATTCGATATATAACAGAGACATTTGAAAAGCTGGACCCAAAAAAAATATTTGTGCACAAGAAATTACTAAAAAGTTATTAAAATTGCTACCAGTTAGTTTACAGCCAATAACTGCAAACATTTCAGCTGTTCATTATTAATTTAGATGCTCTTTTCCTGGGTAAAAAAGGCAACCAAGAAAGTCCTATTTTTCTGAGATTGTCCACCTCCTTTATCTGCATCGTGCCAAATCTCCACCCAGGCCTGTCTCTGCAAGTTGAGCAGCTACTGTATATGAAATGCAGACAGTGTTAGACTTGAAAATGAAAGTCAGTGGGTCCCGTATCTCAGCATGTTTTCATTCTGAAAAAATATTGAACAAGCTTACATAGATCAAAGTGGTGTCTATGTAGCAATAGCAGCTCTCGGATTAGAGAGCCATAAATAGTGCAGCTCTGCCTGCATCATTTCTTATTTCTAAAGCCACAATGTGTATGTTTCTGATTCAATATACAGTATTATTGTTTCAGGTTGATTTAATATGAAACATGGTCCACAGTGTTCTGAAAAGGAGGAAAGTGCTCCTGATTACAACAACAATACATCAACCAGTCAAGGAGACAAGCAGATGTTTGATAGTATGTGTAAGGGTCAACACATAAACCTGGACTTGAACCTTTGGACAAACCCAGTGTAAAACATATTTTCATGAAAGAAAGAAAAACAAAATTTCATAATCAACAAGATTAAAATGCAAAAAAATAAAGACATTCTTACTGGGAAATGCTTATATGATGCATGTTCTTTGAACTATTTAGCTACTGGTAATACAGACAAATGTGCCAATTCTGCAAAAAGATCCCAGAATATTTGTGGGTTTTCTTAATCTTCTGTGATAATAACCTCAGTATCTTTGGATTTTGGTCAGTTGGTCAACAAAATCTAAGGATATCACCTTGGATCAGATTAATCAATAATGAAAATAATTATTAGTCCCAGTGCAGTATATTCCAACATTATTCCAGTTATCATTCCATTAAAGCAAAGACAATGCTCTGCCCTGTCAGACAGGGCAAGGACAGAAAGGATCATATGCAACAGTGGACACCTAACAGTAGAACATACACCAATAGGCCTCTCCATAGTATTGATCAATGGGTGTCTGACATTACTTTTACTTTGACACATATAAAGTGAAAATGATGACATTATTAGGCCTTTATAACTGTAACTGCTATAATATTCCTCCAGTGTTCTTTCTGACATTGACCCATGGCTAATACAGTAAATCAGCGTCTCACCTTTCAGAGGGGGCAATGCAGTGAGCTCCACCTGGGAGCTCTGGTAGCGGAACTGGGACGAGCTGTGGGACCTCCTCTGACGGGCTCTGCGCATCGACCTGCGCGGGAACCCGTCCACTTTCTCCGCGGAGGGCACTGAGAAGCTGGTGGTCGGCGAGGACGGGCTGGACGGAGGCAGCTTGGTCGTCTCCATGATGACTGTAGGTGGCGGTGGTGATGAGGTGGTGGTAATGCGTGCGTGCGTGCCTTTGCGCGTATGAGTGCGTAAAGTGGCGTTTAAAAAGAACGTATGGATGAATGGAGGAGAGGATAGAGGAGTGGGTGACTTTCTGAATCACAGAAGGATTATGAAAATACGCACCAGGGGTGGTGGTGGAACAGGAAGAGGGAGGGAGGCAGGAGGAGAGGGGTGAGAGATGAAGGGGGGAGAAAGGTGCAGAGGCGGAGGAGAGGTGTGAAGAGAGAATTTCTGGACGTCCAGTCCCGTCTGTGCGCCTTGCTGTCTCTATCAGAGCTGGACGGGAAATGGCAGCAGCAGCATCCCTGACTCTTCTGTTGTTCACGCACAGATTAAAAATCGCTTGTGTATCATCCCCGTGGAGGAGTAGCCTGTACAGCTACCAGATGATGCTCAAGCAGGCGCGTCTCCTCTCTTTCTCTCTCTCACACACACACACCTCCCTGCTTGTGTATTGGCGTCACACATCGACTAAGTCATCGGCCTAAATCTCATCTGTTTCTAAAATTGATCATACACAGCCCTAGCTGAGCTCCTTGTGTAAAAAATAAAAAAATCACTGTAATCAAGCACCGATTAACCCCCTCTTGTTTATCCAGAGAAAAAACAAACAAACCAACGGACTCCGGGTCAGTTTATAGCTTATTCTCCTCGATGATGCTCCTTATTGATAAAATCGGTGATCGGTCCTGGCGGCGGATGATGATATCATAAAATCATCAGTCTGGGCCCACCTCGGCTGCCGCATCACTGTTGTCCTCGCTCGTTTTAAACGGACCCTCTTTCAACCATTAAAACGCCTGCACCTGCTTTTTGTTTACGTTTTTTTTCCTCAGTCGCTCAAAATACTGTTCTGATCGCGGATTATACCCCCTCCACTCCCGCCGGGCGCCCTCCGGCCGTATCAGGCCGGGGAAACGCACGGTCCCTCCCCGCGCCGACATGTGCAGGTCCTCTGCCAGCGGCCGATGCCACACAGAGCCCCGCTGCTCCGTCTCTAGCTCCGCGGTGAGAAAAATCAGGAAATAGGTTAAAACACAGAAAGGTGCCGCTTCCCCTCGCAGCCCGGAGTGAAAAGACTGAAGGCCTGTGTTGAGCAGCCCGTGTCTGTGTCCGTAAGACTGACGTGTTTTTGCTCCTGTCCCCCTTCTCGGTTCCCGTTCTTCAGTAGATCTACGGCGCCTCGGAGAGATGCGTCAAGGAGCACACAGGTAGCCTGGAAAACGGGAAACCAGGTGCTGTAGCTTTCAAAATAAAGTGCCAGGCAGAAAAACTAAAGTGCGTTTCATAACACAAAGAAATAACATGCAACATTAAAGCAGCAATATATTAGGTTGTCAAACATACTGTATGTCTATATAAATCTAGATTTTAAAAAAGGTTTACCCCATACATAATAAAGCATACCTATTCAGATCACTTGGCTGAGACCAGATAAAGACGGACACATTTCTAAACATGCCAACAAGGGAGCAGTGTAGTCTGCAGACTGTTAGAATCAGAATCAGCTTTATTGGCCAGGTGTGTTGGACACACGAGGAATTTGACTCTGGTACAGCGGCTCTCAATGCGTTGCTTCAAATATCTGGGTGTCCACATCAGTGAGGAGCTCACTTGGACACTTAACACCACACAGCGGGTCAGAAGCCCCAACGGTAGCTGTACGTCCTGAGGCTGAGGAGGTTTGGCATGTCGCCTAGGATCCTTTCCAACTTCTACAGCTGCATCATTGAGAGCATCTTGACCAGGTGCATCACTGTCTGGTATGGCAGCACTACTGCTATGGACCACAAGAGCCTGCAGAGAGTGGTAAAGACTACGGAGAAGATCACTAGGACTCCACTGCCCTCTCTGCAGAGCATTTACCACCGCAGGGTATGTAGGAAAGCTGCCTCCATCCTCAAAGATCCCACCCACCCCCAGCATGGACCTTTTACCTTCCTACCCTCTGGCTGGAGGTTCAGAAGTGTGAAATGTAGGACCTCTAGACTGAAAAACTCTTTCTTTCCCTCTGCCATCAGACTCCTAAACAGCTGAGGAGTTTATTATCAGGAAATACGTGATGTACTGTTTACATTCTCAGTTTGCACATGCATAATTGCACAATGACTGTTGACTACTGCACATGCTGCTCCCATGCAGCATACATTCTCTATTATATTCTTATATATTTTATTATATCTCTGCATTTGCTGCTTAAAGTGCCTTAGATTTTGTGTTACTTATTTATCTACTTTATTTCTCATTTGTATTTTGTGGCATTCATGTGGATGGCAAAGTAAGAATTTCATTATACAGGGAAACACGTTTCCTAACTGTGCATATGACAAATAAACACTTTGACCTTGACCTAGTATGTAAATGTCCTTATGTAAGGCAGCAGTGGGCAAGTAAACAGTGTAAGGCTGAGAACAGAAGTAAACAAGTAATGTGCAATCAAACAAAGGAATGTACATTAGGAATAAAGTATTATATACACAGTCTGGATTCAACGGATCGATATGTACAAGGTATATTTACAGGTGTTAACTGACATCTGGACTCAAACACATGATCCAGAGGTTGTCGAGTAGCTCTCACTGTTATTTGATTTAGAAACTGTGTTTACCCTGCCCTTTCTCTCCGTTTTGAAATGTGAGGAGATACATTTTGCAGCTATACTTTTATTTTCACATCCGTTCTTTTCAACAGATACTCGTCTTCTCTCAACTTCTTTTAGCATTCCTTCAAAAAAGTGGTTATTATAGTAAAAATTTAAACAAAATGCTCTGCTTCTAAGTCTGATCACTTTAACAAAGGACAATATTGGAGTAGGGTAAAAATTTGTGTTAGCGCCACGTTTCGCCATACCTGTGGAAGCAGGTGCATTAAGGGGGTTTTATTTTGACTGATGTGACCGGATGTTCTCTTATCTCACTCCGACTGTCTTGGCGCATGTTCTTCAGCTTAAAGGTGGCGCAAGGAGAGAGGAAGGCTCCTCACTGCGGATGACGCGATACGGATGGATTTATTTATTTATTTGCTTTTATTTACGCGGCCTGGCTTTTGCTATTTAACTTAAATAAATGCATCATTAGTGCCCGCGCTCCTCCGCTCTCACTGCGTCACCTCTGCCAAACCTCTGGCTGCTGTTTCATCCCGTTATGAAATATTCGCTCCTGTTCTCCAGCAGCTCACCGCTTTGACGCTCATCTCCCCGCCTCCCCCATTCCTCTCCTCCCGTTCCCCATTTGTGTTTGTGCGTGTTGCACTTGGCTTTGAGGATCAAGACCCATCCATTCTTTTCTCCCCACTAAACCATTTGTTCTCTCTCTCTCACACACATACACACACACACACGTTCGCGCATTCAAAAAGCGCAATTAGCCATGCGCAATCATCCCCCTCTCCAAGTCGCACGTTGGCCAGCGGTGAATGTGTTTGCCAGCCTTGAACCCTAGTTACTACTCGTTTCACCATAAACACACTCCAGCTTTATGCGCAATACCTGGGCCCCGTTCGCTCCTTCTCCTCCTCCTCCTCCACCCCCTCCGCCTCCTCCTGTGTTGTTTCCCAGATGAATTCAGCTGACTGCCTTCTGGGAAAAACCCAGTGGAAAGTTGTGGGGGTGAAGAATTGACCGGGATCCGGTAAGTGTTCGGTGGTGCAGAAAAAGTGGGCTGCTGGTCTGCTTCATCAGCAGAGGCAAATAAGGGTAAGGAAATTTAGGGCACAGTCCCCAAGGACTAAGGGATCTGTTAACATTTCTTATTGGAAAGTCAATCAAACAATTTCCAAGAAAAACAGAAGAAGTGAGAAACACTAAATGATTACCTCATTGACAAAATAATAATAATAAATAGATAAGATGAACCAAAATAACCATATATAGATGCAAAATGACTAAAAAGAGAAGCAAAATAACAAATGAGATAAAAAAACAGACTTAAAACAAGTACAAAGGATGCAAAATGACCACAAATATACAAAAGAAAAAAAATCAACTAAATATATAAGCACACAACAGCCATAAAGAGACACAAAGTGAAAACATAAGCTACTTAAAAAACAAAAATGACCAGAAAAAGGCAGAGATCAAGTACAAGCAGACGCTAAATGTCTGCAACCAAATATAGATCTGAACTGGTTAAAACAAGATGCAAAATGACTCAAAAGAGACACAAAGCTACCACAAACAGTTGTAGTTTTTGGACTTGTAATGTCAGTTACACAGAAATATCCATCTAAAGTCAGATAACATTAGCTCCCATCATCTCCAGGGCATATCAGACCAGCTAAGGCTGTAGCTGAAGTGTAATGAACCGATCAGTGGTGAGTTGGTTAACACTTATGAATTTACTTTGTCATTTGAAGTGTAACACGTTTTTCATCTTTCAAAAATAACAGCTGATTGTTGTTGTTTTGTAGCTATATTAGAATACTACAAAGCCTACAGAAATGAGGTGTAAACTGAAAAAAAGTGAAATAAGATTATTTAATGCAACGTTTAATGCACAATAAATACAAAATAGTGATAACACACACCCAAAGCCTCACACTAAATCAGATTTCTATACTGAATAAACTCTTATTCCAATATACAAACATACATTGTGTATAAAGCAGAATCATCTTTGTAATACAATCATCAATAAGATGAACCCTAGTTCCTAACTTTAAAAAAAAATGTACAATCCACTTCCTATAACAGTTCCTATAATAGCAGCCTTTTGTCCTGCATGCAATCATGGCTGGGTTTAATCACTAGAGGGTCCCAGGGCAAAAATAAGCTGTGGGCCCCTACTCACCCTCTGTGGTTATTTATTTAGCAAACTGCACTTTGACAGGTAAATAATACAGATGTGCAAACTATTTACTGAAAAAACTAATCAGAAAATGGGATGACTTAAGTTATTTCATGGATTCACATATTGCAGGCCATACATACTCAGCAGCAGCATACAGTAATATGAGAGACCGTGTGTTTGACTGTGAATTTTAAATGAGGTTAAAAAAGAAAAGCAAAAAAAAAAAAAAAAAAAAAAAAAAAAGCAATGACATTTCCTTAAGTTTAAATCATAATCAATGTGCAGGCTCACTGGTTAACTGTGGAACTGTTACTACATGTTCAAACAGCTGCTCCAGGCAAAGATATAAAGTTCTCCTGATTATGTGTCCATGAAACTGTGGGGAAGTAGTCACTGTGCCCAAGTTTCAAATGCTGAGTCAGATTTTCAGGAAGGGGGTGACGCCTAACTTTGATTCACGTATTCGAAAAACTGGTGGCTTTTCGTTGGATCACATCACAACTTCAGAGGCTAGTAAATATGGTCTCACAAGTATTACAAGTATTGTACAGAGTTTTGGCCTGTCGTCGAGCAAAGTCTGAAGGAAAGGTATCCCCAGTCTCTGAAAGCTTAGCTAGATGTCTCCTTATCATTATGAAAGAGAAACCATCAATTTCAGACATAAAGGTCAGTTTCTTCATCATGGGAGTAAACTGTGGCTCTGGACAAGACTAAGAAAATAACCCTGATGGTGTTATAGTGATGTCATCAGAGCTTGAGCCTACAAATTTATGAAAGAAAGTCTGTGTCTGGAGGCACAGGGCTTGAAAAATGTGGGATTTTCCAGTGTAATGAGATGTATAATTAGCTGTATTACAGGCAATGTAGAATCAATGTAGTCATTGGAGCTAATGAGGGACTAAACATGAGGATATCTTGGCCTTTGCTGGTACTGTCTCTTATGAGTCTTCCAATTTTATGAATGTGTAATAGTAAATCACCGGATTATCCCTTTAGGAAAAACCAAAAAGCTGAATATGTGCAACAGCCCAGACATTAGTTTGGCTCCTGGTTCATTTTCTCATGCTAGTTTTCCATAAATGAGTACCAGCTGGATGTCAGATGTGAAAATCTGTCTCCCTTACTCATAAATCCTTGCATTTTATAGTTGCTGCTGCTGCTGGCCTGTACTGCATTCTGACTCCCAACAAGCTAAATAACAGTTGTTTTGTTTGTTTAGCTTTTTTTTTTTATTAACCTGAGACCTAAATCATTAGGTGTGATGATGCTGTGATTTAGTACCACTTGTCTTTGAGTGTGTCCAGAGTTCAGTTAAACAACTTGAAACATATCAATTAAATGACCATTTTGATGGTCTGCCTTTGTCATGTGGCATGTAGTGCTACTGATTGCTGGTCCCATTTAGGATCCAATCATTGTCCTCCAGGAGCTCAGAAAGGGAGAGATCTCCCGACATTGGCAGCAGTGGTGGAGGTTGAGCGTTAAGTCCATCAAAGCCATGACAGATAGTCTGAGAGATGCTAGGTGGACTCGGGACATTTAGGAGGGAAAGCAAAGATACAGGAGTAGGAGTTATTTGTTGAGTAGAACTTGACTTTAAGGCAAAGGAAGGAGCAGAAAATGGTTCTAAGTTTGCCAGAGGTGAAACTAAAAGAGACTCAGGAGCAGGACCTTGAAAAGTTGGCAGTAAAAGAGAAGACGGCGGACTTGAATCATCCGGATTCCTAATGTAATGACCTGCATGAAGCTGGGGCACATCCATGGGACAATCTTGTGTTACTCGACCTGCGTTTTCTGCCACTAAATGGGAGTAAGAGGGCACCATAAAAGGGGTTTGTTTCATTAAATATTCATCCAATGTGTCAAAATGAGATGTAGAGGCACAAGTATTTGCTGATGCTGAAGACTTTTCATGGATGGTGTCTTGTAAAGGTTGAGTCTGAGCAGTTGAGGTCAGGATGCTAGAGGAAATAGTGTTAGAAATGAGGCTGGTGCAGACTGACGTACCGTTTGTCAACTTTGAGGTGATTAGAGGCTCTTTGCTAAAAAGAGAGTGAGGAGCTGGGAGCGTGGAGAAAGAGAATGGATGAGGAACAGTCACTGGGCTGGAGGAGGGGGCATTGAAGAGTTCAGTAGACAAGCCAGAAGATGAAGCTAATGTAGTTGTTGAAGAAGACGTTGCACTTGAGAGATGAGAATTTTCAACACAGTCAAAGGTTTGAAGATCCAGGCTTGAGGTTAAAGAGGTAGTAGGTGAAGGTGCAGTAGCCAAAGAGGAGTCTGAGGCCTGGGGTGGACATCCAGGAGGGCTGGAACCGGCCTGACAGTCGGCTGAGAGGGACACAGAGAGGCAGGTAGGTGAGCTGGAGCTGGATGCGCAGGCTCTGAGGCAGCAATACGGTTCATGGCGCTCCAGAGCTGTTTTATAGAGGTTGAAGTCTCTTTTCAGTGCAGCAATTTCCTTTTTAAGGGCAGAGTTTGATCGCTCAATACACTGGAGCTCCTAAGGAGAAAAGGGAAAAAGAAAAGCACAAATGAGGTAGGAGGGGAGAAAAAGAGACAACAGAGAGAGATGAACATGACGGGAGAAAAGAGGGCCACAAATGACAAACAGTTCATGTCAAACTGAGTCAGGCATGTCTTTATTATCCCTCTGGGTGGCGCTCATCAGCCATAAAAACAGATTAAAGGCATATATCAAAAGACAAATAACAAAGGCAATCACATCCTACCCACACACTGTAGCATCACACCAGGACTGACTTGTGCTGTAATAAAACACTATAGCCAGGCAACACTAATGCCACTCTTTCTGAAGGGGCTTCTCAAGTGCTGTTATAGAAAGCACAACGGCCATACAATGGATGATGCGTGGCCAAAGTCAGAACCCCAAAGGAGAACTGAAATATGGCTCTGAAGTGACAGTACTGCAAGTTCAGCATGAAAGGAGACGGCGGGGCGGCGCAGAGAACAAAAAAAGCAACTCCCTGCTGATCAATGCTCAGTTTAAGCAAATAAATAAAGAATTTAAATGTGGCTAAAAACACTTTTAAAGATTCTATTTTTCTCATTTGTTTCAATGAGTAGAATTGTATCCGGGTTTATGATCAGCTAAACTTGCTTTTAGGCCCCATTAAGTTTCAGTGCAGTCTGAAAACACTTGTCCTCCACAACAGCCAGTGTTCATCTCCACTGAACATCAGTGACAGCAAGTAAAGACTTGACTAACACTCAGTAGAAAAGGGTTTCCCTCCAGTAAGATTGAACCTCCGCTATAGTCTTGTGAAGGTCACATAAGTGAAGAAGTCACAGTCAGGGTAGGAGTACTAGCTGTTCACCACAGGTGCTAGTCCTTTAAAACCAAAACTGCTGACACAACTTCGTATTTATCGCAAGTCATACTGGTTTGTGGTGATTATGCTTCTTTAAATTTAACTTAAAGGATACACAGACAGTAAAACTGAAAGGGAAGAAGATACTAAAAGTGAAAGTCTGGACTCCCTCCACACTCGTCCAACTTTTTACAGCTGCTATGTTATCATGTATATATATATATAAAATGCAATTAGAGTCAAAGGGAAACATCTTCAACCAAGCTAGATGCAGCACAGTAAACTGCAGGTTTAATTTTTGTCAGCATAAAGGGAACATCTTGTGTGTGTGTGTGTGTGTGTGTGTGTGTGTGCACTGAGATGCATTCATGGCTGGAAAGTAATAAATCACATGTTTCAGTTTTATGAAAATCAAACCTTTGTTATATTTATTGGAGAAATAAAAACATTCAGATTATTGCACAGAAATCTGTCAGAAAGGGAATTTTAACAAAACAGGAAAGCTCACATCCAGCCATTTGTCCTCCAGAAATTCATGAAATTCAGAAATTCAGTTGTACAAGTCCTAATTTTCAGAAGTGCTCTTCAGTCTAGTGTAATTGCTTCATAGATCGATAGGACTGTCATACCTGTTCATTAAATATGAAGCCAGCAGCCACTTAGCATAGCTTAGCATAAAGACTGGAGACAGAGGGAAACAGATAGCCTGGTTGAAAGGTCACACATCTGCCTGCCAGCAGTGTGGGGATATACAAATATATAAAAAAACTATTTTCAGTGGTGCAAACTAATCATCACATTCAATCAGAAACTGAGCCTGAGAAAGCTGCGCAATGTGTGTCTGTTGTGTAACAACCCTACACTGGAATTTGACCCTAGGGGAAAGAAACGAGAGGCACCCATGGAAAAACAATAGCAGGAAGGGGAGAGCGTGTGTGGGTGTTTGTGTGTGTGAAAACACAAAGGAAAGGGACGGTCTGTGGGGAGGGCACCAGAGGGAGTGAAAGCCCTTCTGCTCAAGCAGACTATTTACAAGAAATGGCAAGCATGCTGCCAAATTACACAAGACACACACCACTAGTCACACAGTGTGTGTGGGTGGGTGTGTGTGTGTGTGTGTGTGTGTGTGTGTGTGTGTGTGTGCGTGTGTGTGAGAGAGAGTGAAAAAAAAAACAGACGAAGTGACAGAGTCACAGGATGAGGGGTGTAAGGAAGCAGCAAAGGAGAGAAAGAAGGTCAGGGGTAAGTGTTTCAAACCTCATGAAGTTCGTCTGCTCTCTCCGTTTGCTTCCTGCGGCTCTTCCTTGCCGCGTCTCTGTTCTTCTCTCGTCTTTTCGTACCCATGTTTCCCAGGTGTTGTCCCTTTCCTTCTCTCTCCTATAAAGATTACAGTACACACAGGTGGCCACATTCATTACCAGTGGTGGCAAGTAACTAATTACATTTACCCAGGTAGGCTACCATATTTTTATTCCATGCTGCTTTATACTTCTGCTCTTCTACCTTTGTACTGCAGTACATTTACCTGACAAGTTGCTGAAAAAATTAGGATTTTACACTCAAAACTTATGATGAGCTTATAAAATATGTTTTGTTATAATTTACCTAATAAAACTGAAATGACTCATCAGTAAACAGAAAGCTATTTTAATAACTGATTAATGAATTGTACATGTAACATTTCATGATCACAGTTTGTCAGAGGTGAGGGTTTGCTGCTTTTCCTCACCTTAAATCAGAGTAAACTGAATCATTTTATGATCTCACTGTTGCTCAGACACAACAAAACTACCTGAGCTCTTCGTGACAGCATTTCTCACTGTTTTCACACATTTTTAAAGCAAACAATCAATCGATCAATCAAGACAAGAGTTTCCAGGTTGATCCAGAATGAAAACTGCCATAAGCTGCAGACTTATTTAAAAGATTTTAATAAATCGGCTCCACCTTAGAAAAAAACTGCTGCTTCCACACTGCTGCATTAGTTATCACGTTCTGGTGATAAATATATAATAGTATCACACTCAGAGGGGACGTTTTTATGTATGGAGCACTTATATTTTGATACCTTCAGTACAGTTTTCTGGGTATAATTTGGTACGTTTACTTAAGTAACATTTCAGTGCATGACTTTTACATATAGTGGAGTATTTTCACAATGTTGCATCAGTATTTTTACTTCAGCTAAGGACCTGAATACTTCCTCCACTGGTCATTACAGTACATGCCAGTTCTGTGTGTGGTTTTCAAGTGTGTGCTTCTCTTGGGGCAAATCCCCGGCTGTCTTTTTAGGGGACATGTATAAGTTTTTGAGGTTGCATAATGTTTTGAAACATCACGTACAGTAGTTCATAAAACAAACCCATCACATGAATTACCACGTGGTCTCTCCGTTCATGCAGCTCAGTAAAGAAGTAAACAGATGTGGACTTGGAAGGACAGAAACTTGTGGCGTGTGAAGTTAATTTCAGGAGTAAATTCTTCCAGTGTATAGTCAAGTTGACAAAGTACATTGATGAACAAATGAAGGTTAAAAAGTAAAAAAAAGTAAATCTTTCTGACACCTCATTCAAGGCATTCAAGGTGGCTGCATCTAATAATTTCCTCTATTACTGTGTGTGACTTTTACTTCTTGATAAAATGGATCCTATGTATTAAAGGTTTGAAATGTCATCTGCAAGGAACATAAACCTCTCAAGGTAAAAGCATTCAGTCTTAAGAGCTTCATCATATTGGAAATAAATTCCTCTCAGCAAAACAACTAAAACTGTATTAATTGCTACAGTACAAAAAAATGTATACATTTTAGATTTTTTTTTAAGTGTAAATGCACCTTTCCTTTACTTTTATGAGAGGACAGGTGCACGGCAGCCAAGCTTGAAGAAAAAGACAAACATCAGTCGGCACTCGCTGCAGACAGCAAAACTAGAAATCCCAACTGGAGCCAAGAGATATCAGCAGTGATGACAAGTGCAAACCAGTCTAACATTGCCTGATATTATGAGGTGTACAGGATGCTACAGTGATACCCAGAGCCAGGTTTTTGGTCACTTCGATGTTTTGAGTCCACTTTTATATACGTAATAGGATGGGCCTGATTGATTCTTACTGGCCTAAAATTGTAAATATGTGTTTATGATGGGTTTATACTGATTGTAGAGTGAGTTTATTATAATGCATGTATTTTTATAGTATTTTTATACAAGTCACAAGTGTATTGTTTCATAAAACAGGCTGTCACCCCACCATTTCCCATCGTTCCTGGCTGTTTCTATGCTGTCAGCTGTCAGATAAAGGGGAAATGCCCAAACAATACATAAAACCAAAAAAATCTGTGGATCAGAGAGAAAATAAGTACAAATAAATAATATAATGAATTGTTAGTTAATAAGAAGGGGGTTAGCTGAAAAAACCTTAGGAAAAATCAACTGGACTAGATTTATAGGTCGAAGACCTTTCACCTCTCATCCAAAACGTCTTCGACCTAGAAATCTAATCCAGTTGATTTCAGCTTACTATGACCTAAACGACTGAGACTCTGCACAGACAAGAGGGGGGTTACTTACTGATCCAGCTGCGTTGCTGTTGCATTCATCAGGCGACAGGGAGCCAGAGCTGTTGGATTCATAACTGGTGTCCATAAATAATGGGGACATCTCTCCCAGACTCGCAGCAGACTGGCTGGTCACCGAGTAGTGGCTGCTGTTCCACCGACGGGAACTTTCATCCAGTCCCGATCATCCGTGTGGGTGAAACCACTGGCATGAAAACTGTGAAACTGGCGCACAACCAGCGCGTCTCTCTGCAGCTTGGACTAACCTTTGAATGACTGAATGAAGGCAGCTCTCTAAGCTACTAATTTCGTGGTACAAACTGATATCTGATGGTTGCTTGGTGACTTGCTGCTCCCTGTAAATGTGTAGACCAGAGTAAAGCGCGCAGCCTGACCGTCTGAAAGCTTTTGAGCGAGGCGGTTTTGGCACCTCGGTTGGTGATGCAATATGATGCAGCGAGTCCTTTCAGTTTCTCTTTATTTTAAATGGACCTCTTGCAAGTTAAAGGTGGGGGGTCTGTGGTGCCTTCACATGCAGTATGCGCGTTTCACTTTCCATGCCTGTGTCGGCACACTGAAGCCGAAATGTTTAAACGTGAACCCAGTGATAAGAGCAACCATTCAAATGGGTGCTGCTGTCAAACCTTGCCACTATACATTTGAGTTTCTTTATCCTGTAAGTATTTACTCACTAATTAAACCCCCCAGTGTCGCCGTGTGAACAATAAATAAATCCCAACATAATATTTTCGGTAGAACATGAAGGCATCGTGATAAATGGATGTGAAAAAATACTTTCGGACAGGAACAGCTCTGACGTGATGACCATGTAGGGGAGCGCTTCCTTCACGTGCCCGGAATTTCTTAGAGCTTGTGCCAGAAAATGAATGACCAAGCCCCCCGGCAGATGCCAGTTTCCATAATCTCTTTCGGGAAATTATGTCAACTGAAGCAAAGCCTACAAAAGAGCTATTCTTGGACTCAGTGCAGGATATCCAAATTTAGGTTGGTTGACATTGTAGATGGCAACCTTAATGCATTTAAGCCTTCTGCCACTACTCACAAAAACACAAGTTGTAGTAAAATTATTTGATAAATAGTATTGCTTGACTGAATTTTATACAGTGGGCCAAATGAAAAAAACAAGCTGCGTTTCTTATCTTTTTCTGAAGCTTTCAAGTGCACCACATTGATTTTTATCACACATATACACTTGATAGCTCAGGAAAATTTCTGGTGATATTATTTTGTTTAGGTCAAGGACGCTTTCACGCTTGCCTGATGTGTAATACCTACAGGAGGCAAAAGAGGGCGCCACAGCATGAGCCGTGTCCCAATTCATGTGTCCTCTACAGCACGGCCACGCCTTAAATGCTCGACGACCAATCAACGTACGCTCTTTCCCAAACAAACCAATCGGTGACTCGGTGAGGCGGGATTACAATTACATTCGTTTCCTATAGCACAATACCGCTTGTGGATGCTAAATATTGTTCTTTAGAAACCCCACATCTGTAAAATTATTTGCTATAATAACAGCCGTCGAGTGTGACATTGTCGCGATGGGTTTGCTGACAATTTTAAAGAAGATGAAGCAGAAGGAGCGGGAGATGAGACTGCTGATGCTGTATCCTATGTGTAACAGTTTACTATCTTAGCTGGAAACAGTAGTATTCACATACTGGCGTTATTATTACTTCATTTGTGTCAATAATGTAAAACCAGCGAGTGGCATTTTATTTCTGTGTAATGATAGATAATGCAAGATAACGGTTGCATGTTTGTGAAGTTTGTGTATTTGTGCTGTATCACGCTACTAGTTACGTTAGCATTGCTGGGAGCTAACAATGTGGGGTAGATGAATGAGACAGTTAAGCTAATCGTGGATGGATTATTAAAACCCAAAACAGCCACGAAAAGATGCAAAATGAATAGAAAGTGCCGAAAAACAACTTAAAGTGACAAAACGAGTGTGGCAAGACCTAAAATGACAAAGGACACGCAAAACGGCCTCACAGACGAAACAAGTAAAACGGAGACCAAAATGAATACTGAGACGTAATATGACTACAAAAAGAATCAAATAACAAAAAAATGAAAGAGACACATACGACTACAAATTGACCACAACTACATACAGCCTCTTTCAATCCGTCTTGCTGTGACATGGCTCTTATTAATTACATAATTAATTATCAGGTGTGTGTATGTGTGAGTTTCTTTAACCTGGCTGGTGCAGAGGGCTGGACAACGCGGGAAAGACGACTATCCTGAAAAAGTTTAACGGAGAAGACATCAGCACCATCTCTCCAACGCTGGGCTTCAACATCAAAACACTGGAGCACAAAGGGTAACGCGTGAACACGCGCGCACGCACGTACAGTCAACACACATTGTACAGGCCTCCTCTATAGGGCATTTTCATTGGAAACATTTAGACGGGGTCTTGTGTTTATGTAAGTGAAGTTTAATTTCTACAGCATGCAGATGTAATCACAAACATTTTGAATTTGATGGGGAGCCACTGTAAAGATGCACAGACTCTTTACACTGGCAGACAGTGAAGAAGGCATAGCTGAAACATCAATTTTTCACCCTGGGTTGTTGATGTTTGCTGAACTGCACTTGTAAACTAAATTTGACATGTGAGCACTTGCAATTTAAGGATAAACATTATGCTGATTGACAGGTATTTACGTAGAGTTCCTAGCCAGATATCAGACTTTATTTTTCCAGCTTTACTCCATGCTCATCATGTTCTTCCCCTTTCCCTATGTGTTTCAGGTTCAAACTGAATATTTGGGATGTAGGCGGTCAGAAGTCGCTGCGCTCCTACTGGAGGAACTACTTTGAGAGCACAGATGGGCTGGTGTGGGTGGTGGACAGCGCAGACAGACTCAGACTGGGGGACTGCAAACAGGAGCTCAGTACGCTGCTGCTGGAGGAGGTACACAAAATGACACACTTGTGTTAGAGTCACAGAGGATAGCCTGCTTAGAATCTACTGTACACAGAGGAATGAGGGTAGCAGAGAAGCAGGTTTGTGAAACCATGAAACTGTTGGTCTCTATTACCAATTAATTCTTTTTTTTCTAAGTAGGGACACCTAGCTAATGCCAATGTGTAACTGACACACAGAGCAAAGGATCAAGACTGAAATCATTTAAATCCCCCTTGTAGATCTGTCATTCTGGGGCCCCAAACTAACATTTTTAAAAACCATTTTCTTCTCTCATATTTTCTGCAGTCACCCACAAATAGCTTGTATTTAGAGCTGAAATCAGTGACGGACCATATGTATAGCTTAGTGTGCCCAAACATAAAATCATTAATTTATATGTTCAGACACACCGCTCTACTCTGCTCTTCATGAATGCTGATGACTCCAGTAATAATGCATTCATTTCCACATTACTTAGTGTCATACTCTCTCCAAAATAAAAAGGTGAAGCATCCTCACAAACATGACACTAAGTGATCTGATGTCTTTGTTGCGCTTGCAGATCATTAATAATTTCATCTCACTGTAAGATTACATTAAACAGTGAGTTTAACATGAATGTCTCATCCTTAAAGTTGTTTTTCAAGGAGCAGAGAAACTACTGTGAACAGTGCTGCGCTGTCAAGGAGTGTATCAAGCACATCAGTGATTTTCTGTAAATAACCTGTACCATCCCATCTTCCTTGTCCCATCCTCCCTGCAGCGGCTAGCTGGTGCAACACTGCTGGTTTTTGCCAACAAACAGGATTTACCAGGAGCCCTGTCAAAAGAGGCAATTCAAGAGGTAAAGCTTATACCCACATCAGACAAATTTGAATTATCTATCTTATTTCAAACACAAATCAAATCCATGTATAGAACCATAGGGACTCTGTCATGACAGTCCTCTGCAATTTATAATCTGACTCACATTTCACTTACAGATGAATTATCCAGAAACTGTACATCACATTCATGTTTTTTCTTGCAGGCACTGGCTCTGGATGAGATTAAAAGTCATCACTGGTGTATCATTAGTTGCAGTGCAGTAACAGGAGAGAACTTGTTAGCTGGAGTAGACTGGCTACTAGACGACATCGCTGCAAGAATCTTTACTGCCGACTGAGTGCATCTCCAACACAAAACAGCAGTCAAGTTGGGTGATCTCTCCTCCAGCTGCTGTTTGCAGTCAGACCTTTCAGCAATGGAGCAGTATGTATCCATGATCAATGGAATCATGTTCCTCATCTATACAAGACAGGCAGGTGATCCAGATAGTTTGCTCAAGGGGTTTCAAACATGCAGCTGTACATGCAAATATAAATTATAGTGCATCAGATTGTCATCTGATTTGTGCCTCACTGGCTCAAATGTCTTTTCCTTATTTGAAATCCCAATTGAGTAAATCATTACATCCTTAAACATGTTAACTTTTTTTACCTGTTGTGCAGCTTATACAATTTAGGCAGCAGGGCAGTTTATATTTTGTCCTCATGTCAGTTCTATACAAGAGGGCATTACTTTAAAGGGTTTCACTAATCTCATGTCCCTTGACTGTAGACCAACAATATGATTTGTGCCTGAAAACACTGAAGCTTTTACAGTCATTGTAACATACAATGAAATTTTGTTTGGAGCTGAGGGCCCTGGGCCACTGTACATGCCGCCATCACAGTCAGCTTGGGGGTTCAGCGTCTTGCCCAAGAACACTTCGACATGTGGACTGCAACTATTGAACCAAGCTCTTTTGCAGGTTCAGTGAACCTGGCCCCACACCAGATTAAAACAAAAGTTTAAAAACTGCAGACTAATTTTATTGACCAGAATGGCAATGACTATGTAGGCAACTGCTTGAAACAGCAGCATACATTTTGTCCTTAAGTTTTTTTTGTTTAAAAGATTTATATTCAACAGATTTTACCTTAACTGAAAAATGTACTTTAGTTGTAATTGTATACATGGGCCTAAATAAACTTGAATGCTTCATCTGAAACTTGCATAACTTTGGCAAAACCATCACACAAACCAAAAGCTCAGCTTCCTGGATACATTTATTTTGTCACTGCAAGCCAAGTGCCATGGAAACAAACATTTTCACAGGTTCTTTGAAGCATCCACAGAAACAAACTGCAGCAATCCAGATAAGAAAGCCAATGATCTTCATCTTGCCACCCAAGTTCAACCTGGAGTCTGCAAAGGAAGAGCACATCTCAGAAAACTGTGGTAAAACCTCCACATTACTACAATACGCGTACAGTTATATAGTCGATCAGAGGGGATACCAATCAGTCATACATTATCAGACTGGGGCGGTAAAGAGAACTCATCACTTCTGATAGGCTTTTAACATTTAACTCCAACTTTAATTCTTACCAAAACACTCCAGAGCAGAAAGCCAATGATCTTCATCTTGCCACCCAAGTTCAACCTGGAGTCTGCAAAGGAAGAGCACATCTCAGAAAACTGTGGTAAAACCTCCACATTACTACAACACGCGTACAGTTATATAGTCGATCAGAGGGGATACCAATCAGTCATACATTATCAGACTGGGGCGGTAAAGAGAACTCATCACTTCTGATAGGCTTTTAACATTTAACTCCAACTTTAATTAAGAGGAACCACACCCTTAATACTTTCATTACCAGGAAGGAGAGACCCAACTGGAGGAGTAAGAGATTTCAGGCATAAAATCCTTGACTGGGATGAGAGGGTCATTTCTATACTCCCAGAAACACTGCAATACATGCTCACTTACTTGTAGCATTGTTGCAGGCATCAGCCGTTGGCCCCAGCACTCAGACAGCAAGCCTGCAATGCAAGGACAGTTAGTCAATATCTTGTGATTGTGCAAAAGAAGTTTTTTTTTTTTTTTTAAATGCGCAATCAGAATCAAAGGGGATACCAATCAGTCATGAATTCTCAGACTGGGGCGGTAATAAAAGCTCATCATCTCTACTTAAAAATGGCCACCAATTGCACTAACAGGATACATACCTTAACTCTGGGACAAGATCAGGCAGTCCCAGTGACCTCCTCTGCCTCTGTTCAGCACCAATGTTGACCTAAAACATTAAGATAAACATCTTACAAACCTTCTGGTACACAGAATTTGAGCTCAGAAGTGTGGCCAGCATCATTTTCAGTCATACAGCCAAGTAATTAACAGTCCAGACGGTCAAAAACCCCAAAGACCACTTTACACCTGGCACCATCCCTAGTTGTGCTCCACATCTAAAGATGGGACCCCCTCCCAAACCCCTAATTTTAGAGAAATCCATTAGTCACATTACGTTTGTTTCCTTTCAGACTGTTGGTAACCCCAACACATCATCCCCTTATTGCCATGGTAAGGCCAGTGGGTTCACCTTTTCAGGTCTGGCATTAACAAGGCGTAAGACGTGTGCAGACATCATCATGAAGGAAACTTGTGACAAATGTTGCCTTCAGCTTGGCCCTTTAATCCGTGTTGCTTAACTGGCTGCATCAGTGATTCAAGCTCTACAGTTATACTGCATTACAATGGAAGCACATTAGGGAAACAAGTGATCACTAACTGGTCACTGAAAAGGAGGACTCATTGAAGGAAGTTTTATATGGATATCTGACTACTGTTACAAGAAAATGTGAATGCTTTCCTTCTGTGACAGTGTCAAGAGAAAACACCTATGTGACTCACTCACCTGGGTAGGCTTTTGTTGGAGAGATGACTGCTGCCATCTTCTTAACTGTCTAAAGCCAGGTACCTGCAACATCCAAGATTCTGTCAGGTCTGCACCAAAAAAAGTCTGTTTTATACTATTCACCATTGACCTCAGATATTCCATTCTCAACAGCTGTTCAGACGAACGAGATTCCAAATAAATCATCATTTTCAGTAGGTCTGGCAGTAAGGAATGCTGGTCGTGTTCACACAAGTGATCTGATGACATCCTACCTTAATGTAGGAGAATCATGGCCCTCAGTCATCTGTTGATAGAAGACATTCATAATAAATAAAAAGCCCTCCCTCACATCTAAATTACCTTCAAAACAACCACTGGCCACATACAACTGATCAAGATGCAAACTTGGAACAAGGCAGATGTGTCCTATCATTAAAAGGCAGTTTAGGAAAATGCAGCTGCTCAGATGTTCATGTCATTTCACATTGGATCAGAGTGAGCTAAGGTTGATCATCATTGGAACTGCATTACAAAAGGATTTTTTTTTTTATTATATATACACACACACTTTAAAGGCACACTGAAAGAAAAATCTACCATAAGGCTTCAATTTGGCAGTCTCCAAGTAGTCAGTCAAGAGAGCCCTGCAAGAAAAAAAAAAAAAGTAAAGGCACTTTACTGGAGTTCAGCAGTGACCTCGTGAGGCACATTATGATCTGAATGTTTGATCAGGGCTTTGGTGACAAATTGCCATGTGACATTAGTCGTCCAGGTATTTAATGGGTGTTAACCCATTTCATCCTTTCAAACAGTCAGAAACACCTCACCTTTGGTATTGTACTGTGGAAAGCTTAACTTGGAATACATTTAAAATTTTTAGTGTCAAGACTATTGGTACCAAACCTTTACATTAATTTGTAAAACATCAGTATTATAACATGATCTCATACTACAGTACAAGTACTGTAAAAAGTGTTGGCATTTCTCAATTGCACACGAGATTCTAGGCTGTCACAAGAGTGGGATCAAAACCTAGAGTGCAATTCTAAATTGTCAACAAAATAATCAGGCCTTGGCCTTTTGGCAGCCAGCTTTTGATGAGGTGGACACATGATGCACTGCAGGAAAGGCATTTCTGAGAAGTATGCCAGTCAAACTTATGTAAAAAGCTTACATGTTGAGGTGGCATCACTCCCTTCCTCAGTCGGTGTTTCACTGCCACCTAGCAGAGAAACACCATTAAATCACATGCTTAGGAATTAAACATCTTGTATTACTTCAACAAAGGGTAATCAGATTAAAGGCTGGCATCACTCGAATCAGGCATATGCTTGTCATTATTCATAATCATCATGTTTACACCCCACCACTGAATTAACTCCAGGATAAATAACCCTGAACTCACCACAGGGCACCATCCAGCTGCTTTGAGAAGTTAAAGGGCAGCACAGCAACCTACAAAGAACACAAGCAGGTCAATCTGGGCCTCAGCATTTCTGAGGGGGTGATCAGGTATGAATGTCAAGTGCCTTAAAGTGTGGCGTGTTGTTCCTGAGACAATTCCAGCTTAATGTTTCACCTAAGAAGCAAATCGTTTCAGAGCCACCAAACATTGTTTATAAATTTTGGTTTTGCTCAGAGATCTTTTATGTCATTTAATAAGTTCATCAAGATCCTAGAACATACACTACCTGCATCATACCTTACAAAACGAAGCCAATCAACAATTTTAGATATTAGTCTAAAACTAGCAAAGATTAATTATCTTGCATTTCGGTTGCAGACCAGTGCAATGTGTTAGTTGGAGCCCATTTGCTACTCAGAATCTGGTAAAGAAGTTTCTTCAAAAGGCTGATTCAGTAAGAGAGAGTTCTTGATTCATCACTGCAACACACCGAGCTCCTGACCCCACGCGGAGCCACTTACAGGTTTGGTAACAGATAAGCTGCTGAGCAGAACTAAACCAAAGACTGCATTATCAAGGAAACCTCAGATCATATTTTAATTACCTCATGAAAGGAGTCTTGCCACACTCTTCCCACACCTGAAGAAGAAAGCAAGCAGATATGAAATTTCATGGACTTTAAGGCCATCTTCTGAGGATTCAGGTTCCAAGTTTGTCATATGCAGTTAAGAAATGCGCCTCCTTGTACAATGGGGCACACTGCACATGCTACTCAGCATTTAGTGATTAAGTTTCCTCAAAACATTCAGTGAGAGAGTTCAAATTGGTCATCATTGTAGCATCAGGCCTCACACTATGTCGTGCTATTTCAATTAACATTTTTCTTCTAGCTCTGAAACAGGAAAGCATAAGATGACCACACACACACACAAATTACCTCTAGAGAAAGCAGCTTCTGCATTTTCTCCACCATCTACAAAGGAAAAGTGAGCACAAATAGCTTTAGCATGATGTAGCTAGCAAGTTAATTTTCTGCGGACGGAAAACACGTGTCCACTCATGCAACTTGTTCAAGACAGCATGAGTGGGTAAAAGAAACGATGTAAAAGCGTCTCACGTCAGTGTAGAAAAAGTACAATCACAGTCATTCAGGACAGGTCTGTGAATATCATCATTGAGAGACACTGCTAGCTACCGCGCCAAACATGCAGCGGCCATTCATAATGGGAGTTTACGACTCAATCCTATGTTCTCCAAAAATACTGCACACAGCACTACGAAAACACGTTACTGTTCATAAAAATAAAATGTTTCAGATGAAATTGGGATGTTACACAGGCGGATGGTTAAAGATTGTGGTCAGCTCTGGTGGATAGTGCACTGAAACTCCACACAAAAGCTACAGGCTAACAACACTACCGAAGCTTGCGAACAGGACTGTATTGGTAAAACATTATCGTTCCTGTGTTAAACGTTACCTACTAGGCCTGAAATATCTAAAAAAACGCCTGCCCATTAATCTACAACATCTTGACACTCTTACCTCTAACCGATGAGAGAAGGAAGTGGAAGAAGAAACGGGTCCCTCACAGTTTTATGTCCGACTAGGACTCCGCCCACAGGGTAGTGATGTATCGTTCACGAACGATTGGTTCCTTTCGAACGAATCTTTCCTATGACTCGAGAACATCGGATCGTCTCGGGAAATGATTCGTTCATTTTGTGTCAACCGCGCATGCGCAACATCGCATAAGCTTAGTACATCTTTCGGGTCCTCGGTTTCGAGTCATTCGTTTTTGTAACGTGATATGACCGCTTTGTTGGATACAGAAATTAGTTAATTTTCAAATGCCCTTACAGTTTTTTTTTACTCTTACTGTTACATGATGCATTTATTTTTACCATACCATACCTTACCAACTTTATTTATAAAGCACTAAAACAACCAAGGTGGACCAAAGTGCTGTACAGTACAATAAACAATAAATCAAAGACACAACCCACAAGCCATAGGATCGACACCAAATATAAAAACATGAATGAATAAAAATAAATAAAATCAACACTAATATAAAATATCAGAACGCCAAGGAGAATAAATGAGTTTTTAAAAGAGACATAAAAACAGAAAAAGAAGAAGCTTGTCTGATAGGCAGCGGTAAATCGTTCCAAAGTTTGGGACCAGCGACAGCAAAAGGACCGGTTGCCTCTAAGCTTACTCTTTGTTCTTGGCACGCTCAAAAGAAGCTGATTGACTGACCTCAGAGAACATGTGGATGTGTGCCAGTGAAGCAGATCGGATAAATATGGTGATTAAGATGCAGCAAATTCTTTAAAAATCATACAATGTAATTTCCTGAATTTTTTTTTTTTTTTTTTCTGTCTCTCAGAGTGGGAATGCACCTACACCTACCTTGTGAATGTCAGACCCCTCCATGATTTCTAAGTGGGAAAACTTGCAAAATCGCAGGGTGTTCAAATACAGTACTTCTGTTCCTCACTGTATAGTATTTCAGAGACAATCAAGAACAAGAATAGACCTCCCACAGTTTGTCCCTGAGACACAAGTCAAAAAAGATACCTAGAAACAAGACAAAAAAAGAATAGTATTGAGAGGAATCAAGAAAACAACGAGGAAATCAAGAGCACTCGAATTCTCACAATTAACCCCACAATGGGGGAAAGAAACCTGTGTTTCAGCCATAATAATCCCAGAGGAACTAGTCAAAATACCTAAAGCAAGGGAATGTACAATATTTGAGAGAGATCAGGAGCAAGATGTTACACATGAGCCTATTTGCAATGCAGTTCACCCCCAGGAGCTGAATATTGCACCTCAGTCGAATATTACATAGTCCCTCATAACTTCACCTAGCTTATCACTGCAGTGAAGTGTTGTACAGTCTGATGGCTGTGGGGAGGAATGACCTGTGGTAACGTTCCTTCTTACACTGGGGATGTAACAGTCTTGTGCTGAAAGAACTGTTCAGAGCCACCATGTGGTGCAGGGGATGGGTGGGGTTATGAATGATGGATGTTAGTTTTACCAGCATCCTTCTGTCCGCCACCTCCTCGATGGAATCCAGAGGGCAGTCCAGGACAGAACCAGCTCTCTTAACCAGCTTGTTAAGTCTCTTTCTGTCCCTGACCGTGCTACCTCCTGCCCAACCCACAACAGTGTAAAAAACTGCAGATGCCACCACAGAATCATAAAATGTCTGAAGGAGTGCCCCCCGCACACCAAAGGACCTCAGTCTCCTCAACAAGTGGAGGCAGCTCTGGACCTTCCTGTACAGGGCATCTGTGTTGTTGGTCCAATCCAGCTTATTGTTGAGGTGGACTCTCAGGTATTTAAAGGTGTCCACAATCTCAATATCTGATCTTAGCTTAGCTTAGGATGTTACGTGACAAAAGACCGAATGAATTTGACCCAAAAATATCTGGAGGTGAGGTGATGAAGTAACAGACTGCATAGCCTTAAGACACAGGCACGACATTACTTATAATATGACCGTGGCTGCATTACAGTTCTTTCTTATTTGAAACATGATCAATATGTGCGTAAGTAGATGGGGAATTAACATGTAACATTTTAATTACATTCTGCTGAAGTGAACGAAATGACTCGAAAAAAGACTTTTTTTTTGCTGAACGAGATTCAAAGAACCGAATCAGTAAAATGATTCTAACTTCCCATCACTACCACAGGGCAAATGTCACCGAGAACACAACTAAACCACTTCTGGCAACATTCAAAATTAAATGGATTAAACATTTCTTTAGAAATCACAACTCTATTTAGAACTGTCTACCTACCCACGTTTACAACCCTTGAAGGTCATCAAGACATTACAGAATGTTTTGTAAATCACTTGGGTCAGTTACTGAGTTTTATATAATATAATTAAAGCAAAGTAAAATTAGACATTTGATCGATGATAGCACCTGATGAAAAGTGAAAGGATCACCACTGTGTTCACAGTTCACTCTGAGGGAACTTTTTAAGGTCAGTTCTAAATTTCACAGAACTCCTTCCAGTAGCTATCAAGACATTTGAGTCAAAATCACAAATGTCAAACTCATGGTGGCGCTACAGAACAAGCCAGTGGAGCTGCAGTTTGTAAGACATTTAGGACATTATGTTCTCAAATGTCATGGCAATCCATCCAATAGATAGAGATTCAGTCTGTGGTTAAAACAATGCAATGACAAACCAACACTGTCATATTTATACAAGACAAAATGCTTCATTAAGTTGTGAGTTTAACTTTTTATTTCTTTTTTTAATTTTCCATTCATTCATTTTCTACCGCTTAGTCCCTGAACGGGGTCACGGGTGGGGCCGGAGCTAATTCCGGCCGGCAATCGGGGGAAGGCGGGGTACACCCTGGACAGGTCGCCAATCCATCGCAGGGCTAACACATAGTCGAACAACCACACACACGCACCCACGCACGCACTCCTATGGGCAATTTAGAGACACCAATCAACCTAAGCTGCATGTCTTTGGTCAGTGGGAGGAAGCCGGAGCACCCGGAGAGAACCCACGCAAGCACGGGGAGAACATGCAAACACAGAAAGGTCCCAGGTGGGGCCTGAACCCGGAACCTTCTCGCTGTGAGGCAACGGCGCTAACCACTGCGCCATCGTGCTGCCCTTTCTTTTTTTTCTTTTTTAATTTTCCATGAGTTCAAAATCATGTTGTCAAGGGGTTCTAATTATGAAATGATTTGGTCACTAGTCTTTCACAGGGCTGACATGTAGTAGAGTAGTAAAAAGTGATACCACCGTATCACTCTCATTGAAGCTGTTCATTCAGCTCCTGGATTTGTTCTTTTAGGGCGTCATTTTGTCTGCTGAGTTCATCTTTTTTCACCTTCACTGCTTTAGACTTCTCCTCCAAAGTGCTTTCTTTTTTCAGTTTTTTATGAAGATTCTGGAGTTGTGTATGTAGGGTTTCATTCTGCAGTCTCAAGGCGTTTTTCTCCATTTTCAGTGAATCATAGGTGACACTCAGAACTTTTTCACCTTGGAGCTTGTTGCGGAGCATCTCAACCTCGAAGTGCAGTGCAAAGTTTGCTTTCCTCAGGGCATTGTTCTCTCTTTCTATTGCATTATTCTGCTCCACTAAAGCTTGCTCCTTTGAATCCTGGTTCTGCAGCTCCTTAAGTTTTTTTTGCAGAGTGCTCTTTCGGTTAATAAGAACAGTTTTCTCTGCGTTCAATGACTTATTAGCCTTAGAAGCACTTGGATTCTCATTGAAAATCTGAATTCTGCCCATTTTTAGCGTCTTCTCCTCCAGCATGTCACCCTTGCAAAGGCAGTGATCTTCATTTTTATGCTTTTTGAAGATATTTCTGAGTTTTTTACTCAGGACTCTGTTTTCTGCCTGCATGGCCTTGTCCGCAGCTTTCACTTCTTTATAAGCTTCTTTAAAAGGTTTTCTCATCAGGAGCTGCCTGTTAACTTCCTGGATTTGCTTTTGCAAATTGTCGTTTTCTTTGCTCAAAACGTCCATATGAGTCATGCTTTCCCCACACTTACATGCCAGGATCTTTACCTTTTCATGCTCTTTATTGAGATTCTGGAGTTCCTTCCGCAGGGCATTATTATGACGACTCCTGGCCTCGTTTGACATTTTGATGGCATTGTTCACCTCAAGCAAAATTTTTTCATTCTGGAGCTTTTTGTTGATCTCCTGAATATCATGTCGCAAAGCATCATTCTGCTGGCTAATCGCCTCTTGCTTTGCTTTTGCGACACTGTAGGATTCATCCAAAGCTTTGACACACTGATACCTTTTCTTGAGCTCCAGGATTTCTTTTTGCATGGTGCTGTTTTGCTGGCTCATTTCTTCTGTTGCCTTCTTCACTGAAGCGCACATTTGCTCCAAAACAGATTCATTTTGAACTTTTTGCTGCAGGCCCTTAAGTTCTTGTTGAAGCTCCTCATTCTCTTGTCTCACAGCTTCACTTTCTGTTTTCATTGCATGACACATGTCAGCTGTGTCTTTGTCATTTAGCCTTTCCTCTTGAAATTTTTGTTGCAGAGTGTGCTTGTGACAGTCCCATGCCTCTTTTGATGAGTTTGTATCTTCAAACATTGCATCCAAAGAGCTGAGCTTGTCACAGAGATTCTTCATTTTATTTTGAAGGGTGCTACATTCTTCTCTTGCAGCCTTTTTTTCTTCTGCCTTCATTTGGTCACATTTTTTCTCCAAACTCTCAGTGCTGTGAAGCTGCTTCTCGAGCACCTGAATTTGCAGGTGCACTGCATCAAGTAGATGGTTGATTTCCTGTATGGTCATATTAATGGTATGGCAGTTTCTCCTCATATCTCTTGGATCCTGATAGGTGTCCATGTTGTCACTGTCCAAAGATCCAACTAAATTTCTTAAAGTACTTTGTATAAAAACTCTTGTCTCTGTTTACCACAAAAATACAATCCTCAGGGTTAAAAATCAACAGCACAGCAAAATGTAATATTACTTGTTAGTAGAGTGAATTGTCCTATGTGTAGTAAGATTGTACAAGCTGTTGTAGGATGTAACGGTAACACTACATCAAAGCCACCATGACGTCATCAGCGTAGTGACGTCAGCTACAAGGACGCTATGCCGCCAGGGCCTATTTCCGGTTCAGGGCAACACTGCTTAACTAACTTCCGTATACTCCAAAACAGAATCATCCGTTTCCGGTTTGCGACTAGTATGAAATATGGCAGTGTTGTACTCAAGATGTTTCCAAGAACTACTAAAGATGAAGATCACGGATGTCCACCGAATATGCAGTTCGACGTCTAAAACACCGGGCAGCAAGCTGGATAAGGGGTTTAAGCTATATGCTTCTTCATACATCCACGACTACGAAGGTAGAGTTATGTATCGGTTATCTTACAAACGGAGATGTAGCTAAGCTAGTTCGTAAGCTAACTAGCTAATGTTATCGATATTTACACCGAGCATCTGTCTGGTACACCAAAATAATGTAATACACTACCAGAAAGCTAATCGTAACTAAGCTTGTGTGATGGAAATGCTAAATTCGCAAACTGCTGGGCTTCTAATTTTTCACATGCCATGTCCAAGGCTGATGGTT